GCGGGACTCGATCCCGGGACTCCAGGATCACGACCTGAGCCGAAGGCAGTCGTTTAACCAACTGAGCCACCCAGGCGCCCTACATCATTAGTTTTTGATGTGGTGATCCACAATTCATTGTTTTCATATAACCCCTTTCTTATTTTTAGTATCATTTTGAATTCATAGATTTTCACATATTTCTTTTGTTTAAATCAGCTATAGATATTCTTTTCAATGTTTTAATTGCCCCATTTGGGGCCAGTATTAGTCTCTATTTGACTCTCGTGTCCTTTTGGCAAGCCTTTTATAGTCTTTGATAACTCTCTTGCTTTCTGGCACAAGATGTCTTAGGTTCATTTTGCCCCACACCTGAAACAGCCATTTCTACAAGGAGCACAAGTTTCTTTTTAGAGATCATGTTACCCTAAGTGCCTTCCCATTTCTCTTAAAAGTCCAAAATACCTCATATGGTATAGTACCATGCTTCCTAACATTGGTATATCACAAATGGGTATGTCTGTAAATGGAAAATTGATCCCTTCAGAGCTCTGAGTTGATTGGTAGGGCCTATGTTGTCTGAAGAAGCTGGGTACAAGCAACTTCATCTACTTTCCACAATGGTGCATACAATAGTTTCTATGACTGCAATGATGTGAGAACAGTTGGGAGCTGTAGGCATAGTAGATAAACATATATTTGTCAGCTCAACAGACTTTTCTTTGGTGGAAACTCCTCTTCTCCATTCAGCTTTAAATCTGTGTAGTCCATGTAATTAAGATGAGCCTGACAGGGTTCTTCCCCTCCTGTCTCTTCCACATACAGACGAATGCATTCCCTGAATGGAAGCATGATCCACGCCTGGGTTAGTAGAGGATTCCCCTCCCTGCCCAATTGGTCAGTTCACGGATGGGTATGCAAAGTTAAAGTTGGCTACTTGGAGCCTTTTCTGATACTTCTGCCTGAACCATTTTTCTCTGCAACTGTGAGTTACAAAAATGTTGCAAGCTTGGGGCTGCGAGTGCCCATCTCGCCACAGAATGGAGAGTACCTGAAAATAAAGTCAAGCATGTAGAACTAAAAGAAAAAAGAGAGTCCTAATGCATTTGGGCTCCTAATTCTAACCACGCCTAGTTAGAATACCTCTTACCACTGGAGGAGACCTACTGCCTGAGGTCTACAATGCCTTGCATTGTCCCTCTGTGGCCTCAACTAATATGACTTTTTCTGTCACTGTACTCCAGCCACCTCAGACCTATTTGTAGTCTGGTGAAAGCCCCAATATCTTAGCATCTCCAGGGCTTTGTACCTGCCATGCCTTCGGCCTCATATGCACTTGTCCCACTCTTCAGCCCAAACCATTCTCTCCACCAAGCCTTAATCATTACATCCTTAGGAAACAGTCCCTAACTTTCCTGTTCAGGTCAGATCCCCCGTTAGTCACCCTCATAGCTCCCTATACTTCTCTTGCATCACCCTTCCCTCAAGCATAATCATTTGTATAATCACTTCACTAATTAATGTAAGTCCCATGAGGGTAGGGGCTCTGTATTTTGTTCACTGCTTTATTCCCAATAATGACATGGTGATTGATACATAGTAGGTACCCCTTGAATATGTATTGAAAGTATGAGTAAATAATTTTAAGGCTTAAGATACATATACATAAGGGTGCCTGGGTGGCTCAGTCGTTAAGCGTCTGCCTTCGGCTCAGGTCATGATCCCAGGGTCCTGGGATCGAGTCCCACATCAGGCTCCCTGCTCGTCAGGAGGCCTGCTTCTTCCTCTCCCACTCCCCCTGCTTGTGTTCCTGCTCTCGCTGTCTCTCTCTCTGTCAAATAAATAAATAAAATCTTAAAAAAAAAATACATATACATAATTTTATTAGAAAATGTACATTCACAATGTAAAATACATTAAATTACAAATAAATTTGCAGTCGTCAAAAATAGTCCCCAAAATATCCTCTCAACAATAAGTTATTCTTGAGCAGATGCAGATGGTTTATACTCCCCCCGCCCCCACCAAAGATTACATACAGATCTATTTCACTTTATGCAAGATAACTGGAGGAGTTTAAATGTAGGCAAGCTTAGCAAGGTAACATGGAGATGCTTTGTGAAGTTATAAATCCCTTCAAATATAAAAAATCACTTTAAGTTTAGGTTTTCAGAAACTTTTCTTTTCTGAAATACAAACTATTTTCAGCAGTTTTTCATATCTTAAGGTCTCCTATCATCTTTTTCAATTTATAGTCCACTTGTCCCACTCAAGACCTTAACTAGGAATTTTTTCCTCAAACTTTATCTCCCTGCCCTGTCCTTAACGCCGTGTCACTTCCTTATCTTTTTTTGTGCCAAGATGTGTGGTGGTATAATCCCCCAGAAAAGAAAGCACTCTTAATAAAAAGTCATTTTTGCAAGGTTATAGTTTATCTGAATTCTACCTGACATTGTAAATCTTGGGAAGTTGGGAAATTTTCTATGTCATATTCTTGCATGGAAACAGTTTACTTTGTTAAGGTAATAGCTCCAGTGAGTGGGCTTCAAATTACGTTTTTTCAAATATTTCTGCTAATAGGAGTCACTGGTATACATAACTTAATTTACCTCTAAAATGTGCAATTAACTGGTCTTGCAACTTTCTGGGCTATTTCCCCCACTATAACAGATTTAGTTGTTTAGAGTGTGGAGTCTAAAGACAGACTGTTAGACAAGTGTCTTGTCTGTACCTCTGTTCCTTTATCTGTAAAATGGGAATCATAACAGTACCTTTGCTTTATAAGACAGCTGTGAAAATTAAACTGTATATTACACATTACCTGCAATATGGAAAGAATTCTATAAATGTTCGCTATTATTTTCATCATCACCATTATTGTTATTTCTATCATACACGCTATCTAAACCAAGGGTGGAGTTTACTCTTTAGGATTAGAAGTTACCTAAAAAATGTAAGACTGAGGAAAGAGCTGCAGAACATCAGGGAAGAGACAGCCCAGGACTTGACCAAACAGCCGGAAACCTGGCTATGGCTCTAATAAGTCTAACTGAAGCAGAGTCTGGCAATGGAAGGTGATGAGTAAAAACAATCTCTAAAATTTAATCAGGATGATTTCTGTCAGATTAAGCTTTCTAGTAGCACTAAAGAAGTTGGATGTAAAAGTATGGCAAATTTCAATAACAAAAAAGCCAAATAGTCTGATTTAAAAATGGGCAGAGGTGGGGTGCCTGGCTGGCTCAGTCCATAGAGCATGCGATTCTTGATCTCAGGATTGTGAGTTCAAGTCCTACACTGAGTGTAGAGCTTACTTAAAAAAAAAAAAGATTAAAAACAAAATGGGCAGAGGATCTGAAAAGACATTTTTCCAAAGGACATACTTATGGCCAGCAGGTACATGAAAGGCTGTTCCACATCACTAATCCTCAGGGAAATGCAAATGAAAACCACAATGAGGTATCACCTAACACCAGTGATAATGGCTAGTATGAAGAAAACAAGAAATAACAAGTATGGGTGAGGATGTGGAGAAAGGGAACCTTTGTGCACTGTTGGTGGAAATGTAAATTGGTGCAGCCACTGTGGAACACAGAATGGAGGTTCCTCAAAAAATCAGGAACTACCATATGACGTGGCAATCCCTCTTCTGGGTATATATCCAAAGGAGATGAAGGCAGGATTTCAGAGATATCTGCACTCCCATGTTCATTGCAGCATTATTCCCAAAAGACAAAACAGGGAAACAACCTAGATGTCCATCAACGGAGGAATGGATAAGGAAGATGTGTGTACGTAGTGGAATATTATTTAGCCATGAGAAAGGAGATCCTTCCATTTGTGGCAACATAGATGGACCTTGAGGTCATTAATGTCAAGTTAAATAAGTCAGACAGAGAGGGACAAATACTATATGATATCACTTCTATGTGAGAATGGGATGGTGGTTGACAGGGGCTGGGGGGTGGACGAAATGGAGAGATCTCTGTCAGAGAGCTTCCTGTTCTAAGATAAATAATTTCTGCGGATTTACTGTACAGCATGGTGATCACAATTAATAATACTGTATTATATACTTAAAAGTTGCTAAGAGAGTATATCTTAAATGTTCTCACCACAAGGGCGCCTGGGTGGCTCAGTTGGTTGAGCGACTGCCTTCAGCTCAGGTCATGATCCTGGAGTCCCGGGATTGAGTCCCGCATCGGGCTCCCTGCTCAGCAGGGGGTTTGCTTCTCCCTCTGACCCTCTTCCCTCTCGTGCTCTCTGTCTCTCATTCTCTCTCTCTCAAATAAATAAATAAAATCTTTAAAAAAAAAAATGTTCTCACCACAAAAAAGAAATGATAATTATGTGATAGGACAGAGGTTTAGCTAATGCTATGGTGGTAATCATTTTGCTATATATAAGTTCATCAAATCAATGCATTGTACACCTTAAACTTACACAATGTTATATGTCATTTATATCCCAATAAAGCTGGAAAAACAAACAAAAGATACAGGGAGAAGATATCCCTCTACAGGCCAAGGAGAGAGACCTTAGAAGAAACCAACCCTGCTGACAACCTTCATCTCAGACTTCTAGCCTCCAGAACTGTGAGAAATAAATTTCTGTTGTTCAAGCCAAAAAAAAGAAAAAAACTAAGAGTACAGCAAACGTAGTATAAAGTGCAGATTATAGAGTTTACTTATTTACTTTGGGATTTTTTTTTAAGATTTTTTATTTTATTTTATTTTATTTATTTGACAGAGACAGCGAGAGACGGAACACAAGCAGGGGGAGTGGGAGAGGGAGAAGCAGGCTTCCCGCTGAGCAGGGAGCCCAATGCGGGGCTCGATTCCAGGACCCTGGGATCATGACCTGAGCTGAAGGCAGACTTAGCTTAATGACTGGGCCACCCAGGTGCCCCTTACTTTGAGATTTGAAAATAAAACTTAACATAGGAAACATCTGGAAAAATATTTAGAACTATTTTTGCATTTTTTGGTAATATTGATTATCCACATACATAATTCTATACTAGTTCTTCTTATCAGCATTCAACATATGTAGAGGTAGAAATGTATACATAGAGAGTGTGATTTAGCCAACTTCAAGTAAACTCAGTAAACTGTTAAGAGTAAAGCAATTTTACCTCAAATATTTATTTATTAGCTTAACTTGGTTGGGGCTGTCATGGCCCATGCAAATTTAAAATTCTGCAGTTCTGAATAGCTACACAGACAGTTTGAAAACTGTTGTGTCTTCCCTGTCACTACCGAGAGATGAGAAAAGTAAATAATTAAAGTGATAGTTTTCTCCAGAATTTAAGAGAATTGAAAAATGCCAATAATTTTAATAAACAGTTTGCTATTCAGTATACGTATATAGTAACACACTTGGCTTACGTTTCTAAAGTGAGTTATTAGTACTTGAAAGAAAACTGTAATTAGTCCTATTAAAGGTAGTGTAATTCATCTTGATCTCTTAATCCTCTTTATTGCTCAAATATTAGCATTATTTGTGCTTACCTATTAACTTAGGGGTTACTTAGTGAGATCCTGAACTAAAATAGGACAAAAGGTGTAGTATTAAAGATAATGACTTATAGAACGGCAGGTAGAACGGCAGGCTATGGTAAATAGAAAATTTAAGAGTCATGATTTTTATTTCATAGGAAATTTGATAATAGAAACTGCATTTTTTAATAAATAAAAAGCAGGTATCTTCAAACAGAGGTACTTCTATTTAGGTAATTTCTATAATTTCATTTTTTTTGTTACAGGTAATTCATACAGAACTTTCCTTATGGTTTCACTGCATATTTTCTCATTATTTTAATGATACCTCTGCAGTCTGAGTTAAGAGTACAACTTCATATTTATAAACCATTTTCCATTCACTCATGAGTTCATGCAACCCCAAAAGAGATGTTATGATAGAATATTTTTTGAAATAAGGAAATTATGAACCAGAGTGTTTTTATATTATCTTACTATTCACAATTACACATTCAATTCCCTGTATTATTCAATATATGTTCTTGTTATTCAAAATATACAATATTAGCAGCCTGACTTTTGGAAACTGACTCATGGCAATGACCTAGCAGAGCCCTGAAAGAGGAGGTCCTATACAACAAGTACTTTCCATCACAGGGTTAGTTATGTTACTCTTGAATCCTTCCATGCCTTACAGAAAAAGCAACAAGTCTTTTGTAAACCACAACCAGGAGCAGGATGGCAAGTACCACTATTCCACACACAAGGCTGAATGCCCATCGTGGGCCCAAGGAAGTGTACAGTTGGCTGATGAACACAGGCCCAAGAATCCGTGCTGCGCTTCCAGAAGCTGTTAACCAGCCCATGTACACACCCTGTGGCAGGGAGGAGAGAAGGAGAAGCAGATTGATATTCAGGTTTAGTTATTTTAAAAATAAGGGTGATACAAATAATAAGGATGATACTACTATTACCGAACTATGATAAACTCACAAGAATCACTTTCTCCATCTTTTATTTTTCAATTAAATATAAAATGCCTCTGTATAAATACAGCAAATAATGAACAGTAAACTTATTTGATTAGTCACTTTGAGAAAAATACAGTACTATAAAGGGACAAACAGTGTCTGCTGAAGCCCTGGAAACAATATAATTTATTAGTTACCATTTACAGCCAACATTTATTTTGTACTTACACTGTGCTAGGTGCTCTACATATATTGTTTCCAACATTCACAAATTTCTACAATTGGCATTATCCCCATTTAACAAATGTGGAAGCTGAAGCTCAGAAAATTCAAGTAACTTGTCCAAACTATTTGAAGGCATGGTTGGCTGACTTCACTGTACCACTTTCCACTATACCACAATGTCACTCTTCCGATAATCTACCTAAGAATGTACAGTGCAGCAATACTTTCAATATCCTCAAATTGAAAACAACCTATGGTAGATTGAGTAAATAAATTATGGTATATTTAATGTATGGAATGCTAATCAGTTGCTTAAAAGAATAAGGTCTTACATGGAGTAAGATCTTATAATGAGAACATCTATATGCACTGACATGGAAAGAGGGCTATGGCTATTGTAAAAAAATTCAAGATGGAAAAAAATTTATGTACATGAGATATAGTCTGTGTTATCTTTTTCTAAAAAGGCATGAGTGTGCATATGCTTGAGTAGGTATTGAAAAATGCAAGTGAAGTGAACAGGAGTAACTTTAGTGTGTTGAGGCTAAAGGGAGCCTTCATTTTCTGCTATACACACGTCAAACCATTTGAATTTTGTTACAACTATCATACGTTGCTTTTGTAATTTGCTTTTATTCTTGATTTTGAAAATTTGAAAATACAATTTTATACGTTAAAAAACTCAGAAATGTTTTACCTACTATTTATAGTTTAAAAACACAGTATTAAAAATTTTCTTTTCTCTTTGCCTTATTTCAGTAGAAACACTAATTTCTGCCCTGAAAATGTAAAACTATCAGTGTAATTTTTAAGGAAGAAATTAATATTTTCACTTTGTGACCATTTAAACAATTTCTACTAAAAAGATGAGTCAGAAATAAAACTTGGGAGATGCCTGGGTCAGTCGGTTAAGTGTCCAACTCTTGCTTTTGGCTCAGATCATGATCTCTGGGTTGTGAGATTGAGCCCTTCGTCAGGCTCCATGCTCAGCAGAGTCAGCTTGAGATTCTCTCCCTCTCCCTCCACCCCTCCCCTCACTCTGGCTCTCTCTCTCTAAAATAAAATAAAATCATAAAAAAAGGGCTGAATATGATAAAAATCCACCAAGTCAGCTTGTATAAAAACAGAGAATGGTAGCAAAAAATGTGAGTGTTTACAACTATATTTCATATAATTGCGATAGCAATATCAGGGTAACTAACTCACCTGAGGTTTTGGTCCCAGAATTTTTGAATATAATGTATAGGACATAACATTACAGGACGGATAGCCTATTCCAATTAGCACAGCTGATGTGAGGAACTGGGCCAGATGGATCATGGGGGTGTAGAAGCACCAGGCTTGTTCAACTGGGCAACCAGTTGGTCCTTCACTGTGATCTTCTCTTGGAGATTTCCAAAGAGTAATAATAATTTCCCCAAATGTGGTATTAGGAATTGAATTATTATGTAAATCTGTTGAAACAAAATTAGTACAGCGCATTACTTGCTCATTTTAGATGAATAACAGGGGCTAACATTATAGAATTGTGTATGGCTATACCTTCCCACTGTATTTTGGGAAACTGATTTCCCCAAGGTAACAAGATAAAGAAGCCAACCCATACAACGATGAATCCTCCCAGTAGAATAGCACGCTCGCCAATCCTGTTAAAGAACAGAAACTCTGTAATTTAAAAATAAAACAGTATTACATAGTTTCATTACCTCTATATTTTAAAAATTATGATATAATATCTTGATCCTTTTAGTCATATACCAACTAATATGAATGTTAAACATAATTTTCCACTAAAAAGAACCAACTGATTTCAGATCTAGAACAGAAAATGTATAAGATGAGCCTGGAAGGGGGCGCCTGGGTGGCTCAGTCGTTAAGCATCTGCCTTCGGCTCAGGTCATGATCCCAGGGTCCTGGGATCGAGCCCCACATCAGGCTCCCTCCTCGGCGGGAAGCCTGCTCCTCTCTCTCCCACTCCCCCTGCTTGTGTTCCTGCTCTCGCTGTCTCTCTCTAATAAATAAATAAAATCTTAAAAAAAAAAAAAAAGATGAGCCTGGAGGGGCACCTGGGTGGCTCAGTCAGTTAAGCTTCTGCCTTCAGATCAGGTCCAGGATCTCAGTGTCCTGAAATCAAGCCCCAAGATGGGCTCCCAGCTCTACAGGGAGTCTGCTTCTCCCTCTGGCCCTTCCCTGCTCCTGCTCTCTCTCTCTCAAATAAATAAATAAAATCTTGAAAAAAAAAAAAGATGAGTCTGGATATTTTTTCATACCAGAGAATATAGATGCTAGCAGTGACTCCTAGGTACTCCTAGTACCTAGATAAAGGTACTCTGAGCCAATTTGAAGATGCCGGCCAAAAACACAACAGTGTGAACACCAAAAATAATAGTAATGACAATGGATTAAAACACATAAAAATGTTATAATCTATGAATTCATATTATATTAAAATAAAATACTCTTGGGGCGCCTGGGTGGCTCAGTCGTTAAGCGTCTGCCTTCGGCTCGGGTCATGATCCCAGGGTCCTGGGATCAAGCCCCGCATCGGGCTCCCTGCTCAGCAGGAAGCCTGCTTCTCCCTCTCCCATTCCCCCTGCTTATGTTCCCTCTCTCGCTGTGTCTCTCTCTGTCAAATAAATAAATAAAATCTTTAAAAAAAAAAGATACTTAAAAAAATAAAATAAAATAAAATACTCTTGGTTACTTTTAAGGGATGTTAGGAAGCCATCTCATTATTTAAAAAATCAGTTAATAAAAGGAAATAGTCATCTTGTCTTTCTTATACAAACTGTACCTCAAGATAACCAAATAATTGGTGATGGGAAGGTTCTCTTTAAAGAAAATATTCCAAAAAGTTAAAGACATGAGAGAATTAAAAACCAGCATTGTGCAATGATCTATTAATAAATTATTGAATCTAGGAATGCTCAATAGTCACTAACAGTATAAAAAGAGAAAAACAAAATGTAGTATTTCTCGTGATGTAAGCACATAATACTACCTGTAAAGTATATTCTTGCCAAAAAATTGAACTCAAATTTCATCAAGCTTCTAGATCTAAGGACCAATTTTTGAGAAATATAGTAAACACAGGAAAATGTTAAAAAAACAAAAAACACCACAGGGATTCAATCAGTGAGATCCAAAATGTGAGAAGCTATTAAAGCATACATCCTGGTTTCTTCAATTTGGAAGGGAAAAAAAGAGAAAGATGGAAAATGTATAGATTAAGAGACTTCAGAAACTTAAGAGTCTGAGTCAAGTAAGTTGTGAAACAAAACAAATTTTAAAAACTATTGCAACAGTAGAGAAAATCTGAATACTGCCTGGATATATAGAAATCACTTAATTTTTAAATTTATTTTTGTTATTTATTTTTTAAAGATTTATTTATTTATTTGAGAGAGAGAGAGAGAAAGAGACCACACATGTGCATGTACTGGGGGGAGGGGCAGAGGAAGAGAAACTCAAGCAGGCTCCCTACTGAGCCTGCAGCCGAGGCAGGGCTCTATTTCACAACTCTGAGATCATGACCTGAGCCGAAATCAAGAGTCAGTTGCTGACCAAGCCACCCAGGCGCCCCCACGGTTAATTTTTTTAGATGTGAGAACATTAACTTTTAGAGATACATACTGAAATATTATGGAAGACATGAAATGATATCCGGGATCGGCCTCAAAATAATCCAGGTATAGGGGATAGGAGTGTGGAGTCGGTAGAGGTATAGATGAATCACAATTATCCAAGGATTGGTAATTGTTGGAGTTGGGTAATGGATATTAGAAATTCAGTACATGATGCTCTCTATTCCCTTGTATATGTTAGAAATTTTCCATAATAAAAGTGAAATATACAGGGCGCCTGGGTGGCTCAGATGGTTAAGCGTCTGCTTTCGGCTCAGGTCATGATCCCAGGGTCCTGGGATCGAGCCCCACATCGGGCTCCCTGCTCAGCAGGGAGCCTGCTTCTGCCTCTCTCTCTCTCTCCCTGTCTCATGAATAAATAAATAAAATCTAAAAAAAAAAAAAAAAAGTGAAATATACAAACAAGACCAAAGACTTCCTAAAACAAAAGAAACAAACCCAAACATTTCACATCACCCTCAGAATACCTATAAGGCCTCACATCTTTCTAACCAAATGTTCTCCCATTTGCCATTTCTTTCATTCTGCTCTGGCCAAACTTGCCTTCCTGCTTCTTTCTAACCCTGCCGCTCTCTCCCAACCCTGCCCTTGCTACTCTTTATTCTCTTCCTTTCCCCGTTTTTCTTCATAGTACTTACACTACCTGACTTCATATTTTTGTTTATTGGTTTTCCGACCCAATAGAATACAAGCTCTTTGAAGGTATGGAATTGGGCAATCTGTAAGAATGCCTATCAGCAGGACTGCTCTACTCTATGATGCATTTATTATTATTTAATTTTGAATATAAATCTATGTCTATGTTTGTATCTGTGTCTTGGCCCCTCTATTTGGCTCTATAAGCATAGGAATCTTCATAGTATCTCCCATTGCACCTAACCCTACACATTGACTCATGATTTGTTAATTGATTTTAGAACTTTATAAAGTTCTAAAGTATTATTTTTTTTTAAAGATTTTTAAAATTTATTTATTTGAGAGAAAGAGTGAGAGAGAGAGCATGAGCAGGGGCAGGAGAGGGAGATGCAGTCTCCATCCCAGTACCCCAGGATCATGGCCTGAGCAGAAGGCAGACGCTTAACCGACTGAGCCAGCCCAGGCGTCCCTAAAGTTCTCAAGTATTATTAAAGCATTTTAGGAATAACTAAATTGTTAGAATTGTCTAAACTCATCAACTAATGTCCCATCTCAGACTATATGAATGAACTTAATTTACAAGCGCTTTCCCCAAAGTGTGTTCATTGCATTTGTAGTTTTACAAAATGCTTCTTTAAAACAATGTTCTTAGGGCGCCTGGGTGGCTCAGTTGGTTAAGTGTCTGCCTTCAGCTCAGGTTGAGATCCTGGGATCCTGGGATCATCCCAGTAGCAGGCTCCCTACTCAGCAGGGGGTCTGCTTCTCCTCCTCCCTGTGCTCCTGCTCTCTCTCTCTCTCACAAATAAATAAAATTTTTTTTTAAAATTTAAAAAAAGAAAACAATGTTCTGTGGTCAAAGTTACAAGTAACTTTGAGAAATGCTACATAATGTCTTTGTCATTATGGTAATATTATATATATGTCCTGAAGATTTGGAAGTTTTAGAGTAAAGAAGTTTGGTAATTTTAACCAGAATTTTCCAGACTTAACCATTAATTCTTTTCTGTTGCACAACATATATTACCATATAGCAGAATAAAGTTTTATAAAATACACTTTTAGAAATACTTAAAAAAAACCATAATATACAAAAGATATGTTAGAAGAAATTAATTCTTGTTCTCTCTCTCTCTCAAATAAATAAATAAAAATCTTAAAAAAAAAAAAAAAGGGGGCACCTGGGTGGCTCAGCCGGTTAAGCGTCTGCCTTCGGCTCAGGTCATGATCCCAGGGTCCTGGGATCGGGCTCTGCATGGGGCTCCCTACTCAGTGGGGAGTCTGCTTCTCTCTCTGCCCTTCACTCTGCTTGTGCTCTCTCTCGCTCACTCTCTCTCTCTCCCAAATAAATAAATATCTTTAAAATAAAAAAAAAGAAATTAATTCACTTTGCAAAATATCTTGCTTTACCAAAGAATATATCATATGGTATAGAAATATCATGCTCCCTTAATAAACTTTAAATCTGTTTGTAAACATTCAAGGACTAAAAGTAATACATAATTAGAGAAAAAATTTCAATTATTTTACTAACACACTTGTGTATGTTAGCTCTGTTTCATGTTTCACTTTAAAAAAAAGACTTTTTTAAAAGTCTACTTTAAAATGCACTGAAACAAAACCAAAGACACATACTTACTTCTTGGAAAGTAATTTAATCCCCATGAAAATAATAACCGCCTCAACTCCAAGAGCAGCAAGTATTATTCCATCATATAATACAGCTTGTTCTCTAGTCCAGGCATACATATCCATTGTTAATGGAGTAACGATTCTAAGAAAAACAAAAAAATTATTCTTATTTTATTTAAATCATAGTCATTATAAATATGAAATAGAAGCTTTAATAATGATATTGATACATTCAAGAATTTGCGTCCCTTTTAACAAGGACACCAGCTCTACATAAAAAAAAAAACAAAAACACATTTTAAGCACATTTTGTTGTTACATGCACAAGCTACTAAGTTTGACTGTATTTTTATTTACTAATATTTATTTATTTATTTATTTTTTTAAAGATTTTATTTATTTATTTGAGAGAGAGAGGATGAGAGAGAACACATGAGAGGGGACAGGGTCAGAGGGCAAAGCAGACTCCCTGCTGAGCAGGGAGCCCGATGCGGGACTCGATCCAGGGACTCCAGGATCATGACCTGAGCCGAAGGCAGTCGCTTAACCAACTGAGCCACCCAGGCGCCCTACTAATATTTATTTTTAATTATATAAGTAATATATCCACATTGCAAAAAGTCTGAAGGACAGGAAAAGAAACAAACCAACCGTAATTCTTACCATTCTAACTAACTAGTCATGGTTAAACTGGTTTAAATTGGTTTCTTTTTAATTTAATTGAAATAAGTACTAACATGATAATGTTACTATTATTAAGTGATGAGAAACTTGTTGGATTTTCTTTCTTCCTCAGTCTCTTTCATCCCTATTTCTGAATGTATTTCTTTCCCTACTTTTTTTTTTAAGATTTTATTTATTTGAGAGAGAGTGAGCAAGAGAGAGAGAGAAGGAGCAGGGGGAGGGGCAGAGGGAGAGGGAGAAGCAGACTCCTCTCTGAGCAGGGAGCCCGACGTGGGGCTTGATCCCCGGACTCCGGGATCATGACCTGAGTTGAAGGCAGACGCTTAACTGACTGAGCCACCCAGGTGCACCTCTTTCCCTACTTCTGAATGTTGTTCTTCTTTTATATGACTGTCTCCTTCCTTGCCAAGCTTCTTTTCCTGCTCGCTATCTCCTCTATTAACTGGTTACAAAATGGAATTGAAATACATTTAAGATATTCATTCTTTTTTTTTTTTAAAGATTTTATTTATTTGATCGAGGAAGACACAGCGAGAGAGGGAACACAAGCAGGGGGAATGGGAGAGGGAGAAGCAGGCCTCCCGCGAAGCAGGGAGCCCAATGCAGGGCCTGATCCCAGGACCCTGGGACCATGACCGGAGCCGAAGGCAGACACTTAACAACTGAGCCACCCAGGCGTCCCTAAGATATTCATTCTTAAAAAAAAAAAAAGAACATCACCATTTTTAATTTTAAAATCAGAGGAGCTGATGAGGAAAATGGTTTGGTAGTTTCTCAGTAATTAAACACAGAATTCCATATCATTCAGCAAATCCACCTCCTGGTATATAAGCAAAAGAACTGAAAGCAGGGACTCAAACAGATACCTGTACACCAATGTTCATCATAGCAACATAGTGTTATTCACAAGTGCCAAAAGTAACCCAAATGTCCATTGATAGATGAGTGGATAAATGAAACTGGTATATACACACAATGGAATATTATTTAGCCATAAAGGTATGAAATCCAGATACATGCTATAACATGGATGAACCTTAAAAACATCTTGCTAAGTGAAAATAAGCAAGACACAAAGGACAAAAGGAAATTTGTTGTATGATTCCATTTATTTGTGGTACCTAGATTGGGCAAACTCATAGAGAAAGTATAAAAAAGGCTATACCAGGGGCTGGGTGAGGGGGAATGGGGACTTACTGTTGAATGGGTGTAGAACTTCTGTTTAGAATGATGAAAAGATTCTGGAAATGGATAGGGGTTATGGTTGTACAACATATGTGAACATACTTAATGCCACTGAATTGTACAATTAAAAATAGTTAAAATGGTACATTTTATGTTATGTATATTTTACCACAGTTTTTAAAAATGCCCCCAAATCAGATGAACTGAAACTTTCACATACCTCAGTAATTTTAAAAATAAAAAAGTCAAGCAAATCTACATGTATTGGCACAAAAATGTTACAATTATTGACAAAGGAATAAACCAAATTTTCAAATGATGTCCATATTCTATGTTGATTTAATACACACACTACACACACACACAACACTACTTACAGTTGTATAAAAAAAATATTTGAAAAATTAATACTGAAGTATTAGCAGGGGTTACCTCCAGGGAAAGAAAAGGATGTGGAGATATAGTTGTAGTCTTTAGAATATTTATACCAAGAATATACTATTTTTATAATATAATGGAAAGGCATTTTAAAAATAAAAAAGCTGTATGATAGCTAAAGGTCAACAAAACCTATAAAGGCAGAGATTTTGTAATATGCTAGTTTTTTTCAGGATCAGAGCTTAAATAGAGTTAACATTGCCAGGCTGAACCCCATACATGTAAATAGAGAGTTATATAGCTTAAAGTTAATTAAATCATGGCACTAAAGTTTTAGAACTATATTAAATATATATCTAACACTCAGAAAAAGAAAAGAAAGACTAGTGAAACAGATTCCTTTATAAGGAAGATAAAGTAGTAAGATTACAGAGAATTAACTATATTCAGGTTAAAAGCATAAAATTTATATATACTTTTTATATCATGACAAAAAATATGCCTTACAGTAATAAAGTTTTTGAGAACATCGATATAACTGATTAATGTTACATTAAGAAATACAGGTTATTTACATAATATGATTTGATGAAGACAGAATAAAACTTACGTTTCAAAAAGGGCAAAGATAAATAGAACCACGAAAAACAGAACATTGGTGGCCACAACAGCAACTTGATCAATATTTCCTTGGGGAACCTGAACTTCATCTGTACTTGCTATAATAAACAGGAGAAAAATTATATTACTTAAACATCTAATTTTTCTTATGACACTAGAATAATGTAGAAATTATATGTAGCAATTCTATGAGTAAACATTTGAAATCACTTTTAGGCTCAAAGCAGTTTAAAAGTAACAATTTACATGACAGAAATAATTTTTTTTTTTTTGAAGATTTTATTTATTTATTTGAGAGAGAGCACAAACAGGAGGAGCTGCAGAGGGAGAGGGAGAAGCCAACTCCCCGCTGAGCAGGAAGCCCGACGTGGGGCTTGACCCACGACCCTGGGATCATGACCTGAGCCGAAGGCAGACGCTTAACCAACTGAGCCACCCAGGTGCCCCAACAGAAATAATTTTTAAATGGCATTTTAAAATAAAGTGAATTTTCTTCCCAGGAGCTATACTTTAATTCTGTTATCCCTCTCCCTCTGCCTCTCGCCCTGCTCGTGCACTCTCTCTTTCTCGCTCTCAATAAATGAATAAAATCTTCAAAAAAAAAACAAATTTCCATTGCAAGTTTTTTCCCTATTTCACCTAAATCTTAAATTTACGAGGATTTCAATGAAGACCTCAAATAGTTTATTAAATCAGTTAGTTCTGTGATTCACTTCAATGGATATATATTTTGAATTTCAATGCTATGTGAAATTAGTATTAGTAAATATCCTTATGTTATTACCACAATTTTTTAAAGTCCTTATGTTATTATTTATATTTTCATAAAGAAATATATTTTGCAAATAACCACCAAGTTTTGATGGTGGTTTTATAAATTAGGAGGGCAAAATGAGTGTACTGACTTACCTTGAACTATGTAGTTAAGCTGCACACTCAGTATTCGCTATTCCTGATATAATTGAGAAGTGCGAAGCCATATAATCTACTTATATATATTTGTCATGCTATTTTATAATTTACCTACTTACTCAGAGTAAACCAGGCAAGTAATTCAAGAACGTGTTCATTTTATGCTGTCTTTAAGCAGCGGGGGGGGTGGGGGGTGGGGGGGGGGGCGCTACTTCCCTCAGATACAGTAAGTTTCTCTTAACTGTTTTCATAATAGTGCTCGCCTTTGTATCTCAGGATTCTGGACGCTGGTCCTTGTGGGCCTTGTATTATTTTGGATAGACCTCCCTGATTTTCAATCACCATCTAGAAGCCAGTCTTTACACCTTTGAATCAAAAAGCAACACTGCCCCAAGTCAGACTGGAGTTTGCTTCACATGTGGTTAGTTTCCTGTGGCCTCCACCCACTACTGGCTTCAGCGGGAAAACTCAGAAATGTTGCATTCTAGACTGTGAGGCTTGACTGGGTATCCAAATTATCAGAATTTTTAAGAAAAGAATACATTCATATATTGATTCGAAGATGATGTAATTAGAAATTATAATCTATCCAATGATAATATTTTTAATAATAGGGAAAAAGCAGACACATTTTATTTAAATATTTACTGAAATTTAAAAATGACTTTTGTTTTGGAAATCATTTTGAAGTACCGAGAATTCTTAAGAAAGAAAATAAATCTGGTCATGGGGCGCCTGGGTGGCTCAGATGGTTAAGCGTCTGCCTTCGGCTCAGGTCATGATCCCAGGGTCCTGGGATCAAGTCCCGCATCGGGATTCCTGCTCCTTGGGAGCCTGCTTCTCCCTCTGCCTCTCTCTCTCTGTCTCTAATGAATAAATAAATAAAATCTTTAAAAAAAAAAAAAAAAAAGAAAAGAAATCTGGTCTTTCTAAACTCTCATTTGTGCTTTAGGGCCGTGCTGTGCAACAGAACTCTGACATGGTGTAAGTGTTCTTTCCCTGTGTTGTCTAATACAGTTAGCCACTAGCCACATGCACCCATAATTAAACACTTGAAATGCTGCTAGTGTGCCTGAGGAATTTCTTAAATGTAATCTAATTTCAATTTAAATAGCCAAATGTGGCTGGTGGCTACCATATTGGACAGTGTGGTTCATAGACCAGCAGCATCAGCTCCCATGACAGCTTATTATAATTGTAGATTCTCAGAATATCACTAGGTTTGCGAGATTTAGTAAATAAAAATACAGGATACCCAGTTAAGCTTGAATTTGTGATAAACAATAACTTTAAGTATTTTCTCTGTAATATTTGAAATTTAAGTATAAGAGGGGCGCCAGGGTGGCTCAGTCATTAAGCGTCTGCCTTCAGCTCAGGTCATGATCCTGGGGTCCTGGGATCGAGCCCCGCATCGGGCTCCCTGCTCAGTGGGAAGCCTGCTTCTCCCTCTCCCCCTGCTTGTGTTCCCTCTCTCGCCATGTCTCTCTCTGTCAAATAAATAAAAAATAAAATCTTTAAAAAAAAAAATTAAGTGTAAGAATGTTCCATGAAATATTTGAGGCATATTTATACTAAAAGATTATTTATAAAAATAATAAATAGTAAATAAAATAAAAGATTATTTGTTGCTTATCTGAAATCTAAATTTAACTGGCTGGGACACATTTACACTAAAAAATTATTCAAATTCAACTGGGCATCCTGTGTTTTATCTGGCAACCCTAATCAGACCTCTCCCCAGGCCTACTGATTCAGAACTGGCATTTTAACAAAGTTTCCAGGTGCTTTCTAAGCATGTTAAAGTCAGTGAAGCACTGATCCATATTGTTATCCCCTTCTAACTTCTCAAAGATTTCGCTTTGGTGTATCTTCCTTTTCTCAGCACTTTATACTCACCCTCTTCAAATTGTTCATTCCTTTTACCTGATAGGTCCTTTAAGTTAGCACCCTATTTTTCACGTTTTAAGCAAAGTGGCTTATACCCCCTGCTGGCACTTCCTCACCATTCTTTCTTTCCTTTCCTTTTCTTTCCTTTTTTATTCTGAAAACTTTCAGATATATATTCAGCCCCTATATTGCCACACTTAACTCATCTACCCCTTCCTTTCCTTTTTTCTCTCACTCTCTCTTTGTTGCTGTAGTGTTTTTCACTGGCTTACTCTGAAATTTGAATCTCTAGCTTTGATCTCGACTGCCAAAATTACAAATGCCTCCAGCATTTTTGAGTTTTTCTAGTGTAGCAGTATATTTAGCTTGATCCAAACTGAAATCATTTTCTCTGTTCAGCCAATGCCCTTCCTAAATTCTTGTTCTCTCCCATTCTTTCATTTATCTAGACTCAAAACCTGACAAACATCTTCAACAACTCCCTCTATTCCTTAATATGCCCTATTCAATCTGTCGAGAATCTTGATTTTTTTTTCCTCCAAAAACTCACATCTATCCCTTCTGCATTCTTAGCTGTTGCCCTAGTTCAGGCCTTCACACATCTGGATTAGTCTCACATGGAATCTATTGTTACACTTCTCCTTTTTTCAAAAACTTACTAATGCTCCTCACCACTCTGCTCTCCACCCTACTACTTTTAACTTTACCTTCCACTAGTTTTGTTGTGAAAATTAAATAAAATTGCTATAAAAGTGCCCGGTAAAATAACACTATGTCTTTTTCACAACTTTACAAACTCCTTAAAGGCAAGAACTGAGCTGCAGTCTTTTGCACAGAGGGGGACACTCCACAAGGAGGAAAAAATTAGTACTTAAATAGTGGTTTATTTAGTAAAATATACCTACTGACCAGACTGGGTACCTACTTCTGAGTCAGAGAAAGATCTAAGGGATGAAAATGTATGTTTGTAGAGTATACCAAAAGAATAAAAATACACAAGAGAAACCTATTCCCATGATTAAGGGAGGAAAGAAATGCTTGAGACAGAAAGACACATTTGGTAGAAAAGTTACTGAAATCCTTCCAAAGAACTGCAGGGTCTTAGGACATTGGCTCTTTACGAACAAGATGAAGTGATTTTTAGCAATGGTTTTAGCCTTGCCAATCACGAACACCAAATAACTGATCTGGGCATGCCTTTTTATTTATTTTTTTAATTTTTAAAAATTAAAAAAAAATTTTTTTTTTAAGATTTTCTTTACTTATTTGAGAGAGAGAGAAAGAGATTGAGAGAACGAGTGGGAGGAGTGGCAGATGGAGAAGCAGACTACCCTTGGAGCAGGGATCCCTACTCAGGACTCGATCCCAGGACCCTGGGATCATGCCCCAAACCGAAGGCAGACGCTTACCCGACTGAGCCACCCAGGAGCTCCTGGGCATGCCTTTTTAAAAAATAATCAATTTAGGAGCACCTGGGTGGCTCAGCCAGTTGAGCGTCTGCCTTCAGCTCAGGTGATGATCCCAAGGTCCTGGGGTTGAGCCCCACTTTGGGCTCCCTCCTCAGTGGGGAGCCTACTTCTCCCTCTCCCTCTGCTGCTCCCCCTGCTTGTGCTCTCTCTCTCAAATAAATAAATAAAATCTTAAAAAAATTATAATCAATTTAGGTAACTTTCAGTTTTGAAGGTCCTCCCCAGTCACCCACTGTACTGTCCTCAGAAGCAAAATCAAGTAAATATCAGACAGACAGAATCATCAGAAACACTTTGATAATGTTCTAGTAATTTAGTCAAACAGGTTAAATAGTACCTTCTTCAAAATTAACATTTTTACACTGTCGTCCTGAGTCATCCACACGATGTTCTCTTAAATAGAAAAACATAAGTATTGTATCCATGAAAAACTTAGTATAATAGATAAATGACTTAAATTTATTAGTAGCCTTCTATTTTTGCACATTCTGATATGGTTTCTTTTACTGATTTCTGAGTAATGAAATTATTACCAGTGAGATATAACCAACAAAATGTAAAAGATACAAGTTACAATTCTTATTATATTATACTATAAAATGAAAAATAATATTCAATTCATTCAAAAGCACACATGATCTACCTTAATAAATATTTGACATTTTCCAGTGATTTTAAACATTTGTTGTAAATGTTTTTGGCCTTTGGATAAAGTACTCCAAAGAAATATAAAGTAACAAAACTTTTGTAGTTTTATAAAATTTCTTCTAATAAATAAAAGATATGAGAGATATAAGTAACTTTTGTATTTAAGATTGATACCAATCATTAATCTACTTAAAATGTTGCTTTCATGCTGTTCCCCCACTTAGAAACCTATAGTTAGTAAATCAAGATCAAACCTTGAGTTTTCAAAGACTTTATTCTCATTTATTGGATTATCCATTATTTCAGTTATGAGTATTATATTCATTAGCTGATCAAAAAAACATGAACACAACTATAGACATCAAAAGCCAAATAAGGCCTTTACAGGAATAATTATCTTCCAATAATGATAATGCTTATTTAATTTCACAATCTACAAAGGTAGTTTTATCATTTCTATCTAATTACCTTAATAGAATAAGGATCAGAATAATATTTAAAACTCCCAGGAACGCTCCAAGTAAAACTGGTGCTGTGTACATGTTTATCTGTAGTTTAATGGTATCCCATGTCACGCCTTTTTCTCCAATGAGAGCAAAACAAGTCTGAAAAACTTAATGAAATAAAATGTATACAGATGAATTATTAAGTGGGAGGCACAAGCTAAAAAAATGTGAAAGACATTTACCATGAGATTGGAAGCAACATTATGGAATCATCCATCTACATCATGCATCTCAATAGAGTCAAGAAAGTTAGTTCAAGGGAAGGGGGCAAAATGATACTTTTTCTGTATAAAGCAGAGATATTCATACAGTACATAAAAGAAACACAACTGACCTGTGGTATTAGGAAAAAGTGTCTAAAAAGGCTCCTTAGGGGGACAGTAATGAGAAAAGTTTGAGAAACACTGATGAATATATACTCACAAAGTATTATATCTAAAGTAACTTGTCAGTATCTTCCTTTTTAAAAAATATCTCCACAGGAAATCTAAATTATCCAGTTTCTTCTATAAATAAATCATGATTTAATTTAAGAAACAGAATGTCACATTTTAAATCAATATTTCAAATTATCACTGTGTATATGGTATTTAAATTATATGTTTTTTTAAAATTTGGATCTATGGCAAAAATCAGATTGGAAGAGTACTGGTTTTCTTTCCTGATGTAGATTCTATATCTGGCTCTTCCAGTAATTTACATGTAACCTTAAGGTAAGGATGAAGTAAGACACTATATATAAAACACTTAGAACAGTCTCTGGCACATAGTAAGCATTCAATAAATGCTAGTGCTGTTAATGTGGCTACTACAGGAAAGGTCATCTAATCTTTTTCAGGCCTATATTTATGCATCTATATATAATACAAAATATTTAAATGAGCTAATCTTTAAAATACTTTTTTTTCTTTTTCTTTTTGATTATTTCTTTTATTCTAAGGTTGAAAATGTGGCAAATCAATGAACAAGGTGATATAAATTTTAGTGCTAATCTTTTTTTTTCTAATGTCCTGTCTGCCTTTATACTAGCAGGTACTGTCTCTGAACCTCAGTTTTCTTGGCTCTAAAATGCTATGAGATTTATTACATGCTTTTATCTCACTTATTTTATTTTGTTTTATCATTATTTAACCCTTAAAATACTTCTTAAGTGGTCAAAATATTTACTGAGAACCTAAGTCTATACCAGGTACTATGCTAGATACTGAGGTAGAAAAAGACCCAGACTATGTCCTCATATATTTTATAAAATGCAGTTGGTCCAATTATTCTACATTTGTGCTTATTATATTTTACTCCAGAATACTAAACTGAAACATTAGATTTTGGTGAAAGATAAATTAGATTCTCTTTTTTAGAGCTTTTTCTTAGCTATCTAAGAGGAAGTAATGGAGGGGCGCCTGGGTGGCTCAGTCGTTAAGCGTCTGCCTTCAGCTCAGGTCATGATCCCAGGGTCCTGGGATCGAGCCCCGCATCGGGCTCCCTGCTCA